TTGAGAACCCAAAAATCAGCTCATCTATCTATGCTCAACTTATTTTTAACAAGGAGATAAAATCAGTTATGGGGAAATGACAGCCTTTTTAACAAATGGTGTTGACAAAATTGGAAGACCATCTGTAGAAAATTCAAGGAAGACCCAAAACTCACACCATACACAAAAACCAAGCTGAGGTGGATCTAGGACTTAGGAGTAAAACCAAAGACTATAAACTTCATTAGAGAAAAACTTGGAAGACCTCTAGAAGTCCTAATCCAGGGTATGAATAGTCTTCCAAGGATAATGAAAAAATTCCAACCAGTAAAGAACAAAATAGATGAGTGAGACCTTCTAAGAATTAAATTCCTATGCACATAAAAACACTTCTCCAAAAGGGTAAAAAAGGAGAGCCACAGACAGGGAAAAATATCTGATAAGAGGCTCATATCTAAAATTTATAAAATACTTCAGCACTTCAACAAGAAAAAAGTAAACAGCCTAGTTGCAAAATGGGCACAGGATGTGAATAGACACTTCACCAAAAAAGACATTCAGATGGTAAACAAACACATGAAGAAATGTTCAAAACTTCTGGCTGCAAGACAGATGCAAATTAAAACAACTGTATCATCTCACCCCAACAACAATAGCATAGTTCAACAGAGCAGCAAACATAAATGCTGGTGAGGTTGTGTAGAGATTGAAACCCTTTTTTACTGCTGGTGGGAGTGTAAAATGGTGCAACCACTATGGAAGGCAGTTTGGCGCTTTCTCAAAAAAATTTATAGGTAGAAATACCATTTGATCCAGCAATGCCACTATTGGGAATCTAGCCTAAAGAAACTATAACCACTATCCAAACAGATATATGCACACCATGTTTATTGCTGCATTATTTACAATAGCAAAGAGATGGAAGCAACTCAAGTGCCCATCAACAAATGAATGGATAGAAAAATGATGATATATTAATACAATGAAATAATACACAGCACTGAAAAAGAATTCATTCATAAAACATTATACAACAGGGGTGACCCTGCAGGACATTATACTGAGTGAAATATCTCAGTCACAGAAAGACAAATACTACGTAGCACCACTGCTACAAAGCAAGTCTGACATTAGGGTATGGAAGGAGAATAGGGTAAGAGTGGATAGATAATGAACACAGCACTGGAACAGATGAAGGAAAGTACTATTTAAAAGGAATATATGATTAGGCATTATAAACATGACTAGAGCCCAGAATAAGAGGACTGGGGGAGGGGGTAAGAGGGAGGTAATTGTGCAGCAATAAATCAATAAATGAATATATATATTTTTTTAAAGTGACCTGGGAGATAAGGAAGGGTGGGAGAGGGGGTAAAAATGTGCAACAATGAATGAATAAAAATCGAACTTTTCTGTAAACTTTCATTAAAATCATTATTGAAATAAAAACTTTTATTTGAAAACAAAAATAAGCCAAATACCCACCACCCCAAAACAATAGCTAACCACAAATTGAGATACTGAGAAATATGCATAACTAGACATACTAGAGACCTTTACAAAGAAAACTACAAAACACTTTATTGAGAAACGATAAAAGACCTAAATAAATGGAGAAATGGTCAGTGTTAATGGATAGGAAGACTCAATGTTGTGAAAATAACAATCCTACCAAAAGTAATTTGCATGTATAATGCAATCCCAATACAGATAACAAATTCCTTTTTCAAAGAGAGAAAAGGCAATTGTGAAGTTTATATAGAGAGAATAGAGACTCTGAACAAGCAAAGCACTTCTGAAAAATAAGAATGAAGTGGGAGGCACAGCACTCCCTGATTTCAAAACCTACTATACAGTTGCATTAACCAAACAGCATGGTACTTACTGGTACAATGACAGGCACCTAGACCAAATGGAACAGAATCGAGAATCTAGAAATTAACCCATTTATTTATGGTCAACTGGTACTTGACAAGGAAATAAAACATATCAAATGGATAAATGATAACCTCTTTAACAAATAGTGCTGGCAAAACCTGCAGCAAGCTGAAGCAAGATCCATACATATCTCACACCATACACAAAAATCAACTCAAGGTGGATCAGAGACCTATGGGTAAAGCCCATGACCATAAAGATAATAGAAGAAAATGGGACCAGGCTTATAAGGCATAGCCTATGATATAAAGAGGATGAAATATGCAGTCAGAAACACACTGGATAAAATTGATTAATGGAATCTTCTAAAGATTAGATCTCTGTGTGCATCAAAAACTTTTTCTAACAGTCTGAAAAGAAAACCTACTGACTGGTAAAAAATATTTGTATATTGTATCAGACAAGGGTCTCATAACAAAAGTTTAGGGTCTTATAACAAAAATTTACAGAATACTACAGGGCGTCCACAAGAAAAAAGATTGATAACCTAATTACAAAATAGGAAAAACTTCACAGATTCTAACACTTAGATGAGCAACATACACATGAAGAAATGTTCCAAATCACTAGCAATAAAAGGGATGCAAATCAAAAGCACAATGAAATACCATCTCACCCCAGTATCAAGGGCAAAGTTTAGCAGTGCAGCAAGCAATAAATGTTGGAGAGGATGTGGAGAGATAGGAGCTCTCATACACTGTTAGTGGGACTGTAGAATGATACAACCACTCTGAAAGGCAGTTTGTCATTTCCTCAGAAAGCTGAACATAGAATTCCATATGACCCAGCTATTCCATTGCTATTAATATACCCCAACAAAATTAGAACTGAGACATAATCAGAGATTTGTATACCAACTTTCATAGCAGTGTTATTCATAATTGCAAGAACATGGAAACAGCCCAAATATCCAACTACAATTGAATGGGTGGAGAAATTTTGGTACATTTACACAATGCAGCACTCAGGAGCAAAGATTTTTAAAAATACTACATCACTTGGGAGGGACTGGAGAACACTACCCTGAGTGAACTAAATCTCACAAAATCAAATGCTATATAAGCCCATTATTGTAAAAATAGAAGGATAACTAGTAAAACATACATTGGAATCCAAGGGGGCAAGTGGTGTGAGTAGAGGGGTGAGGGTGGCCAGGGAGTAAATCACAGAGTCACACAATTTGATGGGTGGAGGGAGGAGGTAAAGGAAATGGGAAAGATCTAAAGGAGACCTGAAAAGATCGGGTAATGGTAGACATAATTCAATGGTGATTAATTTTATAAAGCACAATGTATCGGCATGATTGTGTGTAATACAAGTGAATGAAGGAAAGTGAAACACAATGTCTATAAATTTTGTATGCAAACCAATATTAAATAATTTAAAAAATAACAAATGTAACCTTCAAATGGGTTACATCTCAATGTCAAACAAAATTTTTTACCACTAGACTGATAGCCAACATCATTATAGATGAAGAAAAGATTGAAACTATCAGTAATTCATCTTCCTTGGATCCACAATCAACACCTTTTATACTAGCAGTTAGGAAATCTGAAGACGTATTGCACTAGGAAAGTCTGCATGAGGGACCTCTCCAAATCACTGAGAAGCAGTGATGTCAGTTTGGGGACTAAGATGCATCTGATTCAGGCCAAAGTCTTTCTGATCACTTGCTATGCACCTGAGAGCTGTACAGTGAATAAGGATGATAGAAGAATTGATGCCTTTAAGCTGCGGTCTTGGAGAAGACTATTGAACATGTCTTGGACTGCCAAAAGAACAATAAATATGTCTTGGAAAATGCAGCCAGAGTGCTTCTTGGAGGCAAAGATGATGAAGCTTTGTCTCACATACTTCAGCCATGTTGCTAGGAGAGGCTGACCTTGGAGAGTGACATGATGCTTGGAAAGGTGGAAAGTTGGTAGAAAAGAAGGATGCCCTTAACCAAGTAGGTTGACACAGTTTGTCAGGAAGTGCGAGGATCGCACAGGATAGGACAAGTTTCACAGGGTTGCTTTGGGTCATATGAGACTCGACGGCACCTAACAACAACAACAAATGACCTGTCTCTGTGAAGCAGATGCAGAAATGAATGTAGATATTTGCTTATTTGATCATTAATATTTTATATCTTGGGATATAATTCATATGCTGTGATTCACATTGCACATCAAATTGTTTATTTTACTATAGAGTTGTGGAACTACTAATCTCTGAATTTGCTTATACTGGGCATTTACATAAATGAATTATGGTTTCTTCCTTTAGTATCTGGCTTCTTTCACTTAGCATAATATTTCCAAGGTTCATCAATATTGCAGTGTGTGCCAGTATTATTATTGTGTTGAGTGTAAAGTAATATTATGTTGCATAGATATACTGTATTTTATCTATTTATTCATCAGTTAATAGATGTTTAGGTCATTTCCACTTTGGGGAGCAGTTCTAAATCATGTTGTATGAACAATCATATACAAGTTGTGGCATAGAAAAAAATTAGATTTTCTGAATTTTTAAGTGTTGTAATGCTGAGTAGTACACCTCACACTGGGGAGGTTAACCTTCTGTTTTTATAACTTAACCAGTGTTCTAATGAAAGAGGAAATTCAGGTATTCAGTTTCCTTTTTAACAATTTAGTTTAGCAGTAAATGTGTTCTATTAGATAGGAAGAATGATATATTAGATTATCTTGAAATTTGATCAAATCTGATTTGACTTCTCACAGATTATGAGCATTTAATATTTATAAATGATCTTAGAGCATTTAATTCTTATACATTAATTTGTCTTGACTATGGAGTGGCAGGCCTGTTAAAACTAGCATTCCAGTTTTCTAGCTAGACACAGTAAGTTGTTTAAAATTCCATATCAGTATAATAAGAACAACTTAATATATGCTAATGTTAGTGTTTACTACAATATAAGTTGTTAGGACACATTTAAACTGCACAGTATACAACTTCTCAAAAGAAAAATTAACTTTTAAGATACAGAAACTGCACAGTATACAACTTCTCAAAAGAAAAATTAACTTTTAAGATACAGAATAAATGTACCATTTTTGTCTGTTAACTAATAGCTGGATTATTTAAAAGCCACTGTGAATAGAAGTTCCTCTGATTTAGAAGCTTTGAGGAGAAACATTTCCAAAATAAAGAAAGATACTTCTGAAGAAACCAAAAGGTAAGGGGGGGAAAGTTTATCAGTTTTGACAGCTTTTAGAACAATTATTAAATATTTGTCTTTTTTTGTTAAGTAACTACAGAATTATATTTGCTAAATTATTAAACTTAAAAAGTACCTTCTGGTTCTCCAGACCCCTCCTACCTGCAGTCCCCCCCAGGACCGCCACGACGTGGGCAGCCGAGCTCTGCCCCCTAGCCTAGGTCCTTTGCGGTTCTGAGCTAAGCTCTTGACGGGCATCATTTAATCCTCATAACATCCCGGGGAGATCCACAGCGTTCTTTATCCTGGGCCATGAGCGAACTGAAGGACTGCCCCTTGCAGTTCCATGACTTCAAGTCTGTGGACCACCTGAAGGTGTGTCCTCGCTACACAGCCGTGTTGGCCCACCCTGAGGATGATGGCATCAGCATCGAGGAGCTGGACACCCTGCAGCTGGAGCTTGAGACGCTGTTGTCTTCTGCCAGCCGGCGCCTGCGGGTGCTCGAGGCAGAAACCCAGATCCTCACAGACTGGCAGGATAAGAAAGGTGATCGCCAATTCCTGAAGCTAGGTCAAGACCATGAGCTTGGAGCCCCCGCCCCCCAAACACGGAAAGCCCAAGAAGCAGAAACTGGAAGGAAAGGCGGGACACGGGCCAGGTTCTGGTCCTGGGCTACCCAAATCCAAACATCTTCAGCCCAAGATCCAGGAATATGAATTCACTGATGACTCCATCGATGTGCCACGGATCCCCAAGAATGATGCCCCCAACAGGTTCTGGGCTTCAGTGGAGCACACTGTGCAAATACCACCAGTGAGGAAGTGCGCACACTTGAGGAGCTTCTCAACCCCCCTGAAGATGAGGCTGAGCATACAAGATCCCATCTCTAGGAAAGCACTATTCCCAGCGCTGGGCCCAGGAGGATCTGCTAGAGGAGCAGAAGGATGGCGCCCGGGCAGCAGCTGTGGCTGACAAGAAGAAAGGCCTTGTGGGGCCACTCTGAGCTGGATACTAAAGATGTGGATGCCGTGTTGAAGAAGTCCGAGGCCAAGCATGAACAGCCAGAAGATGGGTGCCCTTTTGGAGCCCTCACCCAGCGCCTTCTGCAGGCCCTTGTAGAGGAAAATATTATTTCCTCCATGGAGGACTCTCCTATTCCTGATATGTCTGGGAAAGAATCAGGGGCAGATGGGGCTAGCACCTCTCCCCGCAATCAAAACAAGCCCTTCAGTGTGCCGCATACGAAGTCCCTAGAAAGACATACCAAGGAGGAGCTGATCGCCCAGGGCCTCCTGGAGTTGGAGGACCGCCCTGCCGAGGACTCTGAGGATGAGGTCCTTGCTGAGCTGCGTAAATGGCAGGCTGAACTGAAAGCCCTCCGTGCCCACAACCGCACCAAGAAGCATGATCTGCTAAGGCTGGCCAAGGAGGAGGTGAGCCGTCAGGAGCTGAGGCAACGGGTCTGCCCATGACAGTGAGGTCATGGATGCCTTCTGCAAGATCATGGCTGCCCGGCAGAAGAAGAGGACTCCCACCAAGAAGGAGAAGGACCAGGCCTGGAAGACTTAGAAGGAGCGAGAGAGCATTCTGCTCTGCCTGAGAAAGGGAGAAGAGGGAGGCTCACTTCCGTCCTTGCACTGATACTGACAGAAGCCACTGGCCGTGGCTGTTCTGTCAAGTGGAGACAGTTTCTCTAGAAACTGAGGACTGTGGCCCTTCCCTGAGGTCTTTTGCTCGCAGAGACAAGAGGCCCAGAGGGCTGGGCTGGGTCTCAGGCTCTGCTTCGTCACTCAGATGAGGGTCCTTATTTTCTAGGTCTTCCTTTTCCCCTCCTCCCTTTAGCATCTCCCACTCCCCTACCTCCTTATCCTCTTCCCTTCATGGACTTCTCCCTTGTGGTTTTGTAAAGTGCAAACTGAAGGTTAAAGAAAAAGTACCCTCTGGAATTTTAATCATAAAAGCTTAGCAAATAGTACAGTAGACTATTTTCAATATATGTTGGTAATACAAATATTTTCAACAAAATTTCAGGGTACATGAAGAAATGTAGATGGTTCTCTGTTTGTTTACATTGAATACTTTTTTAAGTATGTTATCCACAACTCTCTTTAGGTTAAACCAGATTAAATCTAAGAATCAGAATCTAAAAAGGAAATTAAATCAAATCACTGAGAAAACCATGACAACAGAAGAGAAAGCTACAAATATGGAAGACATGTTACGAGAAGAGGAAAAAAGTGTAAAGGTAAAGTTAGGTCTTTATTTTTGAAAAATCATAACAAATTTAGTAGTAGGGATTTGGCTCTGGGGATCAGAATGCGGGAGATCTCTTAGGAGGCTCAGCTTCATGGTTAACTGGGTAACCCCCTAAGATTTAAGCCACCTTCTTTGAGTTCCTGCTTTTTGGTATGATCATATTTATACACTTCTCAGACCTTTTTTTTTATATATATATTGCTATAAAGAGCCTCCTGACCGCCTATGTAAACTTTTAACTTGCTGCTTGCTTCATTTTTAGTATTTTCCAGTCTGATTTTTAAAGTAGCTCCTCCATTCCTTCCCAGAGCCTGAGAAGCCTGGTTTCTGTCCACCTGCCATCATCTATGAATCATGTTGGTGTATTGCACATGTATCCCTTCATCATCTGCTTTCTCTTTAACACCTAACAGTCTGCCACCATTTATGGAAAATGGGCTTCTAGAGGGTGTTCTTTTGATAACTCTACTGGTCTACCCTTCCACTATCTCTCTTGGACAGGTTAGTAGCTTTAGAGTAATTTTTTTGAGCAAGTGGAAAAGACTGATGTTCTCATTATGTCTTTTGTGAAAACTGAAATGACTTCTAATTGTGACCTCACATTGTAGGTCAGGCTTATTTTGCTCTTCTTATTTTTTCATTCCTTTTTAAAAAAGAGGTTACTGAAGCCAGTGGTGACACTCCCCTTGCCTCTCGGTTTTTACCAAGGCTTATGTCATATAAGGGAGCTGTGGTAGCCTAGAGGGTAAGGAGTTGTGCTGCCATCCCAAAGGCAGGAAGTTGAATATGCCAGTGGCTCCTCTGGAGAGAGATGAGCAATCTTGCATTTTACAGCCTCTGAAAACTCTCTGGAGGGTCAGCTGTAAGTCAGTCCTAACTTAACAGCAATAAATTGTTATATCACATATGGTTTCAATAATTTAAATATGATCTAGCTTCCTCAGTGTGCTGCTGTATGTCTACAATTTCTGATTGAAATGATATAGCATTCTTGACTTAATGATTAGAGTATTCATTAAATTGATTACAGTCCTGGTGTAAAGCAGGAAGGGCCCCTGGCCTGTTAGTTAGTGGATCAAAACCATCTAATTATGATCTGTTTACCTATCCTTGTTTAACAGATTTCTTTTGATTCATTAAAAAACACTTTAAATTTTGCTTCTTAAATTAAAAATACTGAAAGGTACCTTAAAGTTAAATTCTCTTACCTCCTTCTCAAAAGCATGGTTTTCTATAGTGCATGAGATAGGTCAATATTAGAACTGATTTGGAAACTGTAGAGTGTGAAATTCATGTGAAACAGAGCCCTTTTGACCTGTGTCAGCTGTGGAGGAAAATCCTTATCTTTTTTACCTTCTCCTGCTAGGTTTCTTCATATGGCTTGGCATCTCTATTTTCCCATATTTACTCTTTAATCTTCTCATAGGGAGCTCTGGTGGTTTAATGGGGAGGGAATTACACTGCCAGTGTAAAGGCAGGCCATATGAACCCAGCAGCTGCTCTGAAGGAGAAATATGTAAAATTTTCCCCCTTCTAAAAACATGCTGGAGGGTCAGTTATGAGTCAGTACCAACGTATAACAATGAATAACAACATATGACAATCTTCTCTTTTTATCTCTTGCAAGATATGAACTCAGAGTCCATTCTAGACTCTCCGACCTCATAAATGTAACAGAAAAGCACCAAAATGGAGTTATAACCATGGGCACAGAAATTAGTAGGGGAGTTAAGCTGACTGAGCCAGGAGCTGCCAAGGTTAAAGACAAATACTAGGATGCTAGAGACCTTGAGTAGCATATATATTTACAACACATATTTTAGGAAACTCAGTTCATTCTAGTCATCTCAAATCTGTGTTCTTGCCACATGCAAAGCACATTCACCTCATTAAATCTCAAGTCAACTTCAATTTCACAACCTCATTCTCTAAATGATCTAAGGAAGACATGGATGAAATATTAGTCTGTAAGAGTCTTTTGGGGAAATCTAGGCTTTTACTATTCAAAAGCATACTCATGCCACCAAGTCAAGACTGACTTATGGTAGACAGTCCATTGGGTTTCCAAGTCCATAAATTGCGTGGAAGGAGATTGCCCATCTTTTCCCCAAGGAGCCACTGATGGATTTGAATCTCTGAAAAGGTGCACCCTTTCGAGTAGCAGCACAACTACTTATGGATTATTGCTGTTGGTATGCACTGATGATTTAAAACAGACTCATTGTTGGACTTCCAGCAGGTTTTCAGAAGCTGTTAAGTCCTACAGAAGGAGAGTGCGTATCTAGCAAAGCACCTAGTAGATTTGTCTTCAGGTTAGCAGTGCAATTCCTTACCACTAAGTTACCAGAGCTCCTTGCCTGTGGATTGTTGTAGTTGTGTTCCGTCGAATTGGGACTAATCTATAGCTGACCCACCAGCAGATATTCAGAGATAGTAAATCACATGAGAGGAGATTGCCCAACCTTCTCCCATGGAGCAACTAGTGCCTTTGAGATTGCAGCATAGCTCTTACAACAAGTCTACCAGAGCTCCCTACCTGTGGATCATTGTTGTTGTTAGATGCTGTCAAGTCAAGTATGACTCATAGCAACCGTATGACCAGCCAAACTTAACCCTGCCCTCTTCTGTGCCATCGTCATCATCTCAGAAACACTCATGCCTGTTGCTGAAGTCACTGTGTCAATCCATCTCATTGGGGATATTCCTCTCCTTTGTTGATGGAGCATGATGTCCCTTTCCAGTGAATACACTCACCTAGCTACATGTCTGAAGAGTGAAAGACAGAATTTTGTCATCTTTGCCTCCAAGGAACACTCCAGCTGTACTTTCTCCAAAATATATGTTTGGGTTTTTTTGCAATCTATGGGATATTCCAAAACAACTATTATCCAAAAACGACTGGAGCAACACATCAGCAGAGAGCTGCCAGAAGTCCAGGCTGGGTTTAGAAGGGGCTGTGGTACTAGGGATATTGTAGCTAATGTTAGATGGATCTTGGCTAAAAGCAGGGAATACCAGAGGAATGTATATCTGTGTTTCATTGACTATGCGAAGGCATTTGACTGTGTGGATCATAACAAACTGTGGCTGACTCTGAGAAGAATGGGAATCCCAGAACACTTGATCATGCTAATGAGAAACCTATACTTGGACCAAGAGGCAGTCATCAGAACAGAGCACGGAAACACTGCATGGTTCAAAATTGGGAAGGGCATGCGCCAGGGATGTGTCCTGTCTCCATACCTTTTCAACCTGTATGCAGAACAGATTATCTGGGAGGTTGGGCTCTATGAGGAGTAATGTGGAGTCAAGATTGGTGGAAGATCTATCAATCTGCGATATGCAGATGACACAACCCTGCTTGCGGAAAGTGAGGAGGACCTGAAGCACTTGCTGAAGAGGGTCAAGGACTGCAGCCTCCAATATGGATTGAGGCTCAATATCAAGAAGACAAAGATTCTCACCACTGGGCCAATTGGCAGCATCAGGATGGATGGTGAAGAGACTGAGATTGTTCACAGCTTTTAGTTTGCTTGGCCCCACAGTCAACACTCTCGGCACCAGTAGCCAGGAAATTAAAAGACGCATTGCAATGGGAAAGTCTTAGGGAACTCTCCAAAGTACTGAAGAGCAGTGGTGTCTCTCTGGAGACTAAGGTGTGTCTGATACAGGCCATGGTCTTTGCAATCACTTGTTATTCATCAGAGAGTTGGACAATGAACAAGGAGGATAGAAGGGGAATTGATGCCTTTGAGCTGTGTGCTGGAGAAGAGTATTGAGGGTACCATAGACTGCTAAGAAAGCAAACAGGTTCATCATGGAAAGGGTCAAACTGGGCGGCTCCTTGGAGGCAAGGATTCTGAGGCTCCATCTAACATACTTTGGACATGTTGTAAGGAGGGACTGGTCCTTGGAGAGGGACATCATGCTTGGTAGGGTGGAGGGACAGCGCAGGAGGGGAAGGCCCTCTATGAGGTGGATTGATTCAGTGACTGGGGCAATAGGGATGGAAATGTCAGAGACAGTGCGATTGGCACAGGACAGAGCAGAGTTTAGGGCTGTTTTACATAGGGTCACTATGAGTCGCAAGCGACTCGATGGCACATGACAACAACAATGGGATATTCGGTACTCTTCTCCAGCATCACGATTCAAAGGCATCAATTCTTCTTGTCATTCTTATTAATTGTCCAGCTCTCTGAAGTGTAATAGATGATTCAGAAGACCATGGCCTGAATTAAGTGCACCTCTGTCTTCAAACTGACATCATTGCTCTTCAACAGTCTGGAGAGGTCCCTGACAGCACACTTGCCAATGCAGTATGTCTCTGGATTTCCTTACTGCTGCTTGATCCAGGGAAGATGAAATCATTGACAGCTTCAATCCTTTCTCCATCTATTATAATGTTGACTGTTGGTCCTGTGGTGAGGATCTTTGTTTTCTGGATGTTGAGAGTTAATCCATACCAAAGGCTACGCTCCTTGATCTTGTACAACAAATTATTCATATCCTCCTTATTTTCAGCAAGCAAAGGCTTGTCCTCTGCATAATGCAGGTACATGAGTCTTCCTCCAATCCTGATGCCACATTTTTATAATGTCCATCTGTGGACCCCCAGAAAAACTCTTCCAGTCTCCATCTATTACCCAATTCCAAAATCATTTTCACTTTGTAGTTGTTTGTGAGAGCAGTGATCACACTTTTTCATACCAAATTCTGCCTTAATTATCTGGTTATAAATGAAATTCAAGTTGATAGCTCTACCAAGGGTATTTATTCCATAGTTCAGGAGGCTGGATGCTGGCTGGTGGGGAAGTCTTTCTTCCTCTGTCAGCTCTGAGGAATGCCTTCTCTTTTTGAGCTTCTGCTTCGCAGGAGTCTTGATGTGACTTGACCACATTTTGGGACAGTAGAAGGAGGTACAATTTGCTATCACAAACAAACAAGCAAATTGGTTAACAGAGATATAGTTTAATACTTTAACTGAGTATATTTCACTGAGGTAAAATATTTCACCATTTAAAAATGGTAACTTTAGACAAAATATTGGCATATTTTGTCAAGTTTTTTGGAAACCTAGAATTTGTTGATCCTGAAGCTTGGAGGGCCAATATGAGAAGAGCAATGGGAATAGGATACTGTTCTTTATTTTCTAGAGGGCTGTACAATAGAAAGGCCAACTGGAGGTGGAATATGAGTAAGACTTGGGTTGTTAATATGTTGGGACTTGCTGCCTTTTAAAATTTGGTTTTTAAATTTTCAGGAATTTTGCAAGTTGATTTTTAGACATTGCTATTATTGAAAATAAAATAATACAAGCTTACAATTAAATGTATCAAGAATGTCGTTGCTATGTGCTGTCAGGTCAACTGTGATTCATAGCAACAACAGCCCTGAACCCTAAATCCTGAGCCAATTTTGTCTTTGACACACCTACCCACATTACCCCAGTCACTGAATCAATCCATTCCTCTCTTGCGCTGTCCCTCCACCCTTCCAAGCATGATGTCTTTCTCCCTCCTTGCAGCAAAGTGTCAGACGAACCTTCAGAATCCTTGCCTCCAAGAAACAGCCTGGTTTCACTTTCTCCAGGATGAATAGGCATTCTATATACTCATAGGTTGCCACTTCAAATTATTTGACTACATTTTGCTATTACTTGTGCTCTTAAGGTTATTTACATTATGTCTATAATAGTATGTAACAGCCTGCTTTTGTGTCTTCATTTAGTAAAGTCACAATAGTGTCTTGAGATTTGTTGTAGTGGAACTGTTTGCCACAGCAATTGGCTTTGCCTTACATCCCTTGATGAACTGGAGAACTGGCTGTTAAACATTGAACGTTTGATGGTTGGGGAGTGCAGCTGTGAAGGTGGCAGGTTAAGTGACTTCTTTTTCCCCCGTAACACCCTCAGGTGCCTCGTACACTTTGTGAATTTTCAAGTTATGTGTCTCCACTGGGTTTTGTTTTCTGAGGAAATTAGTAGAATGACCATGTTCTGAAGTTAGGAGAACATGAAATGGAATTAAGATGATAGTGTTAGATACAAGAATAGAAAACAGAATAGACTACAATATATGTTTGGGCTTTGTTGAAATTGTAGAAAGAACTTTATATTGTCTAGGGTTGAAATTTATGAATTAATTCTTAAATGATAATGTTCGTATAAAGAAAACAACAATGGGGCTTATCAATTTCATCAACCACTCTTGTTTTTGTCCTCAGGAAGTGGATGTTCAATTGAACTTAGTAAAAGAAGCACTATTTAAGAAAGTTCAGAAATTACAGACTGAGACAATAAAAGAGAAATCTCTTATATCAGAAATTGAAGGAACTCGTTCCTCTCTAAAGCACCTCAACCGTCAATTATATAAACTGGATTTTGAAACTTTGAAGCAACAAGAAATTATATACAATCAGGTGGGTGTGACTGTTAGGAATAAGTTCTGTATTGATTTGTTATGGTTATAATGCTGAAGATGCCTCAATGTCCCAAGGAAACAAACTTTTGGATAGATAGATGGATGCTGAGGGTGAAATATTAGGTCAGGTTAGTAGTGGAGTGGAGGAGTCATAGAAAGTTAATTTCCCCCCTCCCCCAACCTGAACTATAATAGTTGAAGAGAGAGATAAACATACTTTAAAATAAAATAGGGTTAAAAAATAATAGGGTAATTCAATCTAGAATAAAACAAAAAATGGTGTATGGGATATGGGAATCCTAATAAACTATTATTTCTTGGTTGGGAATATCTGTTGCCCTAGGCAGGAGATTCATGTTTACCTTATTTTTTCTTGTTAATGAATACTTTTCTATTCTGTTCTCATGCTAATTTCTGAATGTTCTCTCTGTTTAGTTTGTTTTTCTTATTGAATATATTTCTAATTTCTCACAATCATTCCTAATAATTCTCAAATAATATTCTCAAAATGTATTCCCAATTTCTCAAAAACATAGAAGCTTAAATTATAAAGAAATAATTCATGAGGATCATCAAATATTTCTTTTTTAATGTGATTTGAGTGAAAATGTACAAAGCAAATTGATTTTCCTCTCAACCATTCATACATTTTGTTTTATGACATTGACTATGATACTCACCATGTGACTACACTGATCCCCCATGCTCCCTGCAACTTTTATTGCTACTGCTTCTTCCCTCTTTCCCCTTCCTGCTTTCTGAACTCTGCATCTAGGGAAATGCTACTCTTTGAAATGTAGTTCTTTTAAACTGAGTGACTCCCTGGGGTGAATTTTGTTCCAGATTCAAAAGGTGACTACAGGCCATAGACTTAGAGGTTCCATCAGGCTCTATCATACCTGTAAGCATGGTCAGTGTTATGTTTTTGGGTTTTGTTCTACCTTGTTTTTTTCTCAGTCTATCCTGAGTTTTCTACTGGGATGCCTTTTCCAGTGGTCCACTGAGGTAAACTGAGCTCCATCCCATTCTTCTGGTCTCAGTGTCACATAAGCTGAGGTTCACATGGCTCCTTAGTCCTCTGTACTAATTGTTTCTATGTGTCTTTGCTTTTCTTTGTTCCATACAGAGGAGAGAGAAATAATTGTACCTTGCAAACTTTTAAAATGTAAACACTACTTACCAAAGTAGAACATAGAACATTGCCTGTGTGGATTATTATGCCAACTGAGCTTTGTGTCCCTGAGACGATGATCATGAGGCCTAAGAACTAGCAACTTAATCACTCAGGGTCATGTGTTGTGATTAAGACATTTATATAACTTTATATGCTGTTTGCTCTGTTATATACATAAATATATTTATTAATATACAAAAAAAAACCAAAACCTCATTGCTTTGGAGTCAGAACTGACTCATAGTTGGCCCTCCAGTGTGTTTTTGGAGGTTGCGAATTACATGGGAGGAGATTGTTCAACTTTCTTATGTGGAGTCACTAGTGGATTTGAACCACCAAAGAAGAGCTACCTTTCAATTAGCAATGCCGCTCCCTACATACTGGGCTACCAGAGCTCCCTTCTGAAAAATAAAAATACTATATGCCAGAATTCTATATGGTCATAGATATAGTCTCATAACTTGCCCATTTGTTCATCAGTTGAGTCTGCCTGTATGCCCACTAGTGTTGTTGTTGTTGTTATGTGCCATCGAGTCATGTACAATAGCCCTAAACCTTGCTCTATCCCGTGCCAATCTTATTGCCTCTGACACACCCATCCCGAGTACCCCAGTCACTGAATCAATACACCTCATAGAGGGTCTTCCCCTCCTGCACTGTCCCTCTACTCTACCCAGCATGATGTCCTTCTCCAAAGACCTATCTCTCCTTACAGCATGTCCAAAGTATGTCAGGCGAAGCCCCAGAAGCTTAAAATATTGTTGTTGACAATGCAGGATTGTGTATGTAATAGTATTTAACTTTGTTGCCTGTTTTTGTGTGTGTGTGTGTTTTTTTAAACACAAACTCATTCATTGTTGTTGAGTTGGAATTGGCTTATAGCTGACCCTCCAGCAGATTTCCAAGGCTGTCAATAGCACATGAGGGGATTGTCTGTCTTTTTATCTCAAAGCCACTGTGGATTTGAACCTCCAGAGTCATGGCCTTTGGATTAGCAGTGCAACTCTAGGCAAATTAAGTCACCAAAGCCATGGAGTCACCAGAGAAGTTCATCACATTTGATCCTTTCATTGCTAACACTTTGTGGCTCAATTCCTTTTTTGGCACCTTAGAAATTATACCACCAGGATCTGTGCCAGTGAATTTGTTATGGCAGTGTGTTAGACATCTGCCTAGCTGAATTTTATTATATGTTCAGAAGATAACTTGTGTCATTGCCATGCACCCTGTGTGTTGATGAATACTTTGCTATATAAAGATATTAACATTTTATCCTATAAATTAGTAGAGGGTAAAGTTTATTTTATTTAGTCATGATATCCAGATCAGACCAAAATCATCACAATATATTTACTATGGTTTTACATTTCTAGAAGTGGCTTTAGCTGCCTGCTTCTCATTACAAACGTCTTCTTTTTAAAAAACCATAACAGGACTTCTACATCCAGCAAGTGGAGCGGCGAATGTCACGCTTAAAGGGAGACATTAATTCTGAAGAAAAACACGTCCTTGAAACAAAAATTGTTGAACTTAAAAAGACATTGGAAGAAAAGCAGTCTACATGTAACATTTTAGAAACACAGATCAAGAATCTTCACGTAACTAAGTCAAAATACTTTTTCTTTTTTATTTTTAAATTTTATTTTACTAATTTTAATGAACATTTACAGAGATTTTGGATTTCCATTCATTCATTGTTGCACTATTTTCTCTACCCAGTTCATTCCTCTTTCTTTTTTCCTTGAAAGTTTGTTTTGATTGTCCCATTGGCACAGTGCTTATCAAAACCAGTTCTGATTAATCTCCTTTGTCAGTGTGTCCTTTCCATTCCCTATCACTCCTCCCTGAGAGAGATTTCACCCTGATTCACAAGGAAAAGGGGATGGCATATTCTCTTAGCTACTTCCTGCTGAAAAGGGACACTATAGGTTTCAGGGTGAAGATCTTCTCTCACTACTCTAAAGGGCCCCTTTGGCAGTAGGAAACACATAGACTATTATGGAGATTGATTTTGGAATTTAGATGCACTGTTATCAGTTGTGCTTAGCCATACATGTTCATATCCTTGAAGATGTATTATGGAAGTGTTGCAGCCTAGAAGACACAAATTTAACTAACAAGTTAAAAGTACATGAGTCAAAAATTAAAAGCGATAATATTGCAAGTAGAGGTTCTAACAGTGGCACAAATCAAGTTACAGAAGGAAGGTAGTTCTTAAAATAAAAGGCTTATTGACTAGCACTTTGTCCATATTAGTATAAAGGTTAGGAACCACAAGATGTAGAGGCTCAACTATGTCATTTATTGTTCTTAAGTCCTGGTCCAAATTGCATCTACCACTGGGTTGTTTTACAGCTTGGAAGTCTGCATGCAAGGCAGAGGTGAAATAAGGAACTGCTTATGAGGTTTTCCATCAATTTTAACAACTAAGAAATAGTGTGAAGAGTTGGGACCTCAGAAGGCTTTTAGGACCAAATAATAGGCTCTTGTGTCCAGGAGAAAATGAATATACTTACCAGTAATGTTAATGCTCACCCATGGCTCTTCTGGGAAGATCTAAATTATTGAAGCATCCTCCTTTGTTTCCATCTGGGAGCTGCGGCCTGTCAGTTCTGTCAGCCATGAGAATCTGATGTGTGCCGCCCTTGGCCATACTCACTTGCCTATCTGTGGCTCTCATCTGTGACACTGTCTACTGAAGTGGCCCAGCTTTCCACAGTGGAAGCAATTTTGACCTCCTTTATTACCTTTGGGTGACATTGTTTATGAGTAAGGCTTCCTTTTCCTGACACAGGCCCTAAACTGGCAGCAATAGCTGCCCCAGTAATTTTGTCCATTCTCTGGTCTTTTCTCTTCCCTCTAGATCCCAGTTGTTAAAAAAGGGAAAAATTTAAACAAATGTAAAACAAATAATTTTGAACAATAAAATCTTTTACATTTAAGGCTAGAAATATTATCAGTATGATCATTTCCAATGCAGAGATACATGTTGCAATGCAGTTCCTATTTTCCATAAATGGTTTTGGTAAGAATATTGTAAATGTGGATACAGTTCCACTATTCCTCCTCCATGCCATGATATAGTGTTATTAACATGAGCAGTTATAAATCCATTGCCTTCCTTACTCTAAGTTAAAGTTTTTTTAATTTAAATTTATTATTAATTTCAGTAAAAATTTACAGAGACTTTGGATTTCCATTCATTCATTGTTGCACATTTCTCCACTCCCAACCCTCCCCTCCAGAACACTACCCTCTTGGAAAAGTAAAAGAAAAAATTTTTCATTGTTTTACAAACCCTCCCCGAGGTCCACTCCACCATGTAGCCTTTGCTCTAGACTACTGTCATGACAAAAATACCTAATCACATATCCCTTTTAAACAGTTTTCTCCCTCATCTGTTTCAGTGCAGTATACCTTATTGAACCCATCTTTCTCAGTCTCTCCCCAGCCCCAAGGTCAGTCCTGTTTTACAACAGTGGAACCATGCAATATTTCTCCTTTTGTAACTGGATATTTCACTCAGCGTAATGTCCTCCAGAGTCACCCATTTTTAATAACATTGCATGAGTTCCTTGTTTCTCAATGCAGCATAGTATTCCATTGTGTGAACATACCACAGCTTCTCTATCCATTCGTTTGTTGATGAGCACTTAAGTTGTATCAAAATACTTTTTTAAGCTTGAAAATTTCTGAATCATAGTTGTTCTGTTTTAAAAGAACATATCCCAAAGGCTGTACTTTAGATAGAAGGATTACCAGAGGATTACCAGGCTACCTACACAGAATATCAGATGTTCACGGTCCTCCGTTGATTATTTTAGGAAGTAATTTTACCATTTATTGAGCATATAGTATATGTTAAGTCATTGTGCCTTTAAAATTATATTTAGTGAATGTTCATAAATGCTTTGGAAGGAAGTTATTATTATACAATTTTATGGGTTGAGTTAATCTCCCCAGTGTTAAACAGCTACTATATGAAAGATTTGAGCTCTCATCCATGCCCTTTCAGTTACTCAGATTTTACTATCTATCTTCAGAAAATTGATGAATTCCAGTTTCATATTACATACTTGTCTTAATAGCTTGGTGCTCTTTATTGATTTCTGAAATAACATGTAAAGGAAAAGCTGCTCTTTATGGGTCATCTCTTGTTATTACTCAGAAATTTACTTAGTTATAATAATATTTCAAATTTTTTAAATAATAAATTTTGTCATAAGAAGGTGAGAACATTGATTAGTTTTAAGTATATTATTAGGGAGCCCTGGTGGCGTAGTGGCAAGAAGTTGTCCTGCAATCCCGAACGCTCAAATCCACCAGCCGCAATTAACTGCCTCTGAAAACCTGCTCCAGGGTCAGCTGTGGGTCTGTTCCCACTCGACGGTACACAACAACATCATCATGCTCATTGTAAAAATAAATCGTACACTAGGGGACACTACCCTACTTTTCTTAAAGTTTAACTGGAGGGTAAAAAAGCGAGAGAAGATGAGTGGAGGCTTGAATAGGGGTGAGACAACTTGACGGTTTAAATCTTGTTTTGCATACATGGCAGAAGTCCTGTTGATGCAATGGTTAAAGTCTGGCTGTTAACAGAAAGAGGGGCTTGAACTCATCCAGGAAAGAGCTCTGGTAATCTGCTCCAGTAACGATTACAATCTAGGAAACCCTATGGGAGTGTTCTACTCAGTCACATCAGTATCAACTGGATGGCGCCCAACGACAATAATGTCCGCACCTGGGTCCACCAGGATGGCGGTAGGTTTGTGGCAGTAGATTGGTGGGTTGTTTTGGGGTTGTTTTTTTTTTCCCTTCCTTTTACTGACTGTAGAAAAGACTAGTGGTGACTTCCCTCTAGTGGCTTTAGGAGGAATTGTCCTACACACAGAAAAACAAAAGGTGGAAAGGAGATTTCTTTTTTTCACCCTCATTCCTCTTTCTTTCCCTCATCTCTCTCTTTGTTAGAGATGACAGAGCCTTTGATTTAATTTTTAAGATCGCATAACCTTTAGAGTACTACTTTGTAGTCTGATAAAAGATATAAAAATGTTTTCTTGGTTTGGTAAAATGAGTAAGTACATGCCGTGGTATCTGAAAGAGAGAGTTTTGAATCCCAAATCTGGCATATTTTGACTTTTCTGAATCCTAGTTTTCTCAGCTGTTAAGTGGGAAAATGTGTGTTAGGACATTTAGGAGAACCAGAAACAATGTACATATTAGCACAGAATATTTAATAGTAATTCTAGAAAAACATTATTTAGCATATGAGAAAATAAATGTTGCAGCGTGGTAGGGTGATGTAGTCCATACATTTTTTTTTCTGGTCCTGACCTGAACTATGCCTGTTTATTTTCTTTTATTTATTTATCTTTGGAACGTTTATTTTCATTCCAATGATCACTTTCTTAAATAGCTAGAAGGCCTATTTGTTTTTCCACTTCTCTTTTTTTTTTAAATACTTTATTATGGCTTAGGTGAAAGTTTACAAAACTGCTTCCCATTCAAAAATTGTTGCCCCTGACATAAATTTCTTAATCTTTGCTTTTGGTGGTTGATGGGTATATTTGACTAATATTTGTATTATTAAGTCTTCTTATGTGCGTATGTATATTACTCTACCATTGACCCCATTGTGCTTAAGGACAGTTTTTGAAATGTTCTTTTAGATAATGAATGCAACACTGTTCCACTTTAATTTGTCATTCCCAGAATAGCAGATCATATGGTTGCGTGATTCAAAATTGGTCTGTATCAGCTAACATATTTTTATCTTATGTGCTTCATTTCATTTTTGACAACTGTAAATTTTCCAAGTTTCATACAATGTACATTCCCCATTCTAGTTCTTAATGGATATTTTCAATGGTTCTCATTTTGAGTGTTTCTGCATTTGCAAATAAAAGTCCTTCATTGGGTGAAACCTTTATACCATCGTTAAGTTACACTCCACTTTAAGGAGGCAGCACTTCTCCAGTTATACTTTAAGTGCCTTCCACCTGAAGGGAACCTTATCTCTTGATATTAAAGAGAACATTGTTCTGCTGCTATTCATAGGGTTTACAGAGGCCTGTTATTTAAAAAGCAGGGGGCCAGTCCTACTGAGTTAGTTTTAGTCTGGAAACTGGTAAAACCTGCCCACCACTAGTGACCCTGATGTATTTTCCAGGTTTGCTACCATAACAATAATTGCAATGTTTTTTTCATGTGCCATAGAGTTGGATCTGACTCAAAGCTAAGCCTCCAGTGAGTTTTCAGAGGATGTGAGGAGATCGCTCATCTTACTCTCACAGAGTAGCTAAAGTACTTGAACTGCCTGCCTTTGAATTAGAAGTGCAATGCTTTACCTACTAGCCACCAGAGCTTCCTAATATTTATAATAATAATAGCTGATACTGACATGGCATTGCTGTATCAAAAATTGTTATACATACCTTTTTAATTGAGATTTTATTGTAAGTTTAAAAAGAACTTGGACTTCCATTAATTCATTGTTGCATTGCTGTATCAAAAATTGTTATATGTACTTTTTTAATAGAAATTTTATTGTAAGTTTATAAAGAACTTGGACTTCCATTAATTCATTGTTGCACAT